CACAATTTTGATCCTCTGCAGAGGGGATGGCACCCCCGCTTCGGTAGCCCGACGACCTGCACGCGAAGTCGAGCACTTTACGGTAGAACAGTTTAACGAGGACCAATACCGCACACCCTCGTTCCCTACGCAGGCTGATCCAAGTGGTCACCCACCCGCACACTGACCGCAGCCAGTGATGCTTGACTTCGGTGATCTGATGGGAACCGTGTCTTAACGATCAGTCCACTGCGGGACGGCTTGATTGTGGAACTGGCAAACGTCATATTTGATTTAAATTATTTCATAAAAGAAATGCTAGGTTTTACTATTAGTAACCTAGTATTGCTTTTATTACTGTAGAATATAATACTAGTATGTACTAATTCATTGTGTGATTTATATAAATGTTTGTAATAAATAAGAAAAAATAATATTTTTATTTATTTAGAAGCGACGGGTTAGTTTCAAAAGAGGACGGGTTCATTGTTGGACAAGCCGTCCTCAGGGACGGGTAAAATTTCTGAGTTTTTTCGAGCCCTGTTATAACCAATATTTTCAGATATAGTAGCTAGCTACGCTCACTTGACACACCTTTCACCACAGTGATCGTTGCTGCCCGTGATTTTGTTGGTCATAAGATATATGACCCCACATCTTATGTTTGAGGCTCCGTATTTTGGAAACTATCCATTTTCGCACTTTGCATCAATACGAACTTTTGATCAGAAAATTTAAATGCTTTGAACCACAACATATTAAATTTTCAGCCAATTTGACAAGGAATTAATTTCCATAAGATTTGGACGGGGTCCTTTCGGTTTCCTCAGTTGTGTTATTGACCTTTATCAACATGCATTCTTAGAGTGATTAAAAAAACTATATTCTCTTTCTGAAATCATCTGCTTGAAATAATAATATTACTGCTAAACTATAGAGTTACCATCCACTTTAGAAATGACATCATTTGGATTTTCCCTGCCAAATTCAAACGCCTGATGGCAACCTTGATACAAAATTTAAAGCAGCAATTTTTCATTTTTTCAAATTGAGTAGTCTTTTCTTTATAGTTCAATAAAAGTATTGCGTAATCAAGTTTTAAAAGTACTATAAGATCGTTCGACTTAGCACAGCATGCACCCACAGCACGCTCTAGAACTTATAACAGAGTCGAGGTGGCTGAAGGGATAGAGCACTCACTTCCTAGTGATGTGACTCAGGCTCAAATCTCAACGTTGAGTGATGGATAAGAATTTTGCTCATGGTTCACACCGACCACAGTGAGGTGAAGGGATCATGGGTTAAAATCCTCTTGCAGTCGGGCTGACTGTGAGAGATTTACTTCTCCATATATAGAAATAGTCAGTAAGTTCCATCAAAAAATTCCTACACGAAGGCTAGTTTGTCCTAGTTCCTGATCCAGGATTTCCCTTGTCTGCTAGATTGGGTTCAAATTTACAAGGCTTCAGAGTGGAACATTAATGGTTGTGAATTCAATATTGGGTTAGCTGTTTAACGTCGGTTATAAAATATAAAACTTATAACAGTGAAATATATCTTTGAAAATGGACCAGTGAAATACATTTTTGACATTTTACAAATATTTAATATCCATTAAAATTACTATTACTCGTACTTTTATAGGCTCACTGCGAAAACTATACTTTTATATTCAAAGTTCAATTTCAGAAGTTATATGAATGGTTATAAATAAGTATTACCGACAGATTAAAAAAAAAGCATTTTTGAGGAATTCTCTATTTAAAGTAAAAATATTACTGAGAATATAGGTTTATTATACCCCTTGGCCATAACGTCACTTGGATTTTCTCTGTCAAACTCCGACTCTGGGTCCTTCACAGGACTTTAAAACAACTTTTTTTTTCCTCTTCATTTTTTTCAGATCATAAATGACAACCTACATAATTGATCATCCTGAGGCTATGCGGTCAAAACGCTTTCTTCACCGTTTTCCCTACATTTTTTCTCTCATTTTCTCCACATTTTCAAAGCAGGGCTATCTGGGAGCCCATCAATTTTAGAGTCCATTTTTTATTCTTTTTTGATGTGGTTCTTATAATACATTTCTGTAACCGCCTTGACGGTTGAAAAATTCCATTTTTCAGTTGTGTCACTAAAGTTCTTATGATGGACTTCTGTTGCTATGGGGGGTAGGGGCTGAAGAGACATCACTGCACCCCTGACGAACCCCAGAAGGCTGACTTAAGTTTCAGATGAATGACTTGGAAGAATTTTATGAGGAAGTGACTGACTTAGAATATGTAGGGGAGTAGGAAGGAAAGAGTGATTTAAAGTAGAATGGTTATTTCTTCGTATTATTTGCTTTTGAAATATGTCATATTAAATCACTAAAGATGATAGAGTATTTAAAAATTATATTTTGACAATTCAGCACAATATTTTGCAGAAAATATATTTTTAAATGCTTTAAATCAGGTTTATTTTACAAGCCATCCGGTTGTTTTTACTTTTTAGATTACACTGGAAAGCAACTTTTTTGTTACACTTATACAAATACTTGCAATTGTCTAATATGGGTGCGGAGATTTCAAATCCGAAATTTGTTTTATTTTTAAATCTAATTTTTTTAAATGACATTTTATAACATTTTTAACTAGTTTAAAAACATTATGTATAACGTAGGATGTAGAAGAGTTAGAGCATAACATCAGGATTAAAACTGCAAATTAATTATTCTATTTTTCATTTAATAATCATCTATTTTTCATTTAATATTCTATTTTTCATTTAATAATTTCATTAATTTTAGGGTCTATTTTTCATTTAATGTTCATAATAGAGAAGCGCCTCTAACAGTGTATGTCATCATTTCTAAGCATGAGTTCCTATGCAATTTTAATCCTGATGATGTGCCCTAACACTCTGCAAGTTTGTCGTAACATGTATGAGAACCCCTGTAATATATAATGCTTATAAATTTGTACATTTTTACAAAAAATATACTAAAAATATCATTTAAAAAATGGGACTTGGAAAGAGGAACCAAATACATGTTTGAAATAAGTGATACGAACGTATATGATATCAGTTTAATAGTCTAATGCAACAGTAAACAAACAAGAAAAATATTTCCCCAGTGTTATTCATGAAATTTGGAATCGCAAATTCTGATCAAACAAAAAGCGTCAGTTCTTGCAGCTAAATATGACTTTTTACGCCCCATAAAACTTTCTCTCCCTGAATTGCGTTTATATTATGCGCTAATGATTGTTTAGTGCTAACCAATGTAATGATATTTTTTATTATAAATTCGTCAAATTGTAGCTAAACGAGATTTTAAACTGGTTGCTTTGCTTCGGAAGATAATAATTTAATTCACAACAGCAAACAACTTACTTTCTTATGCCTTTAACTTATTACCTCTTTATATCTCAAAACGACAGCGTACCGAGAGCAAAGTCGCCTTTGAATTCTTACTCAGAATAATCATGTTTTCTAAGATAATCCTCTGATTCAGGGGAATTTTCCGATAAAGTACTTATAGGCTAATGTAAATGTATTGTGTATACAAGTGTAAATATCTGCTATTTTGTAAAATTGCTGTTCGTTATAATTGCTGTGAACAGAGTGCTTCAAAATAACGTGGCTAAAAATAAAGTGCAAAGTATTCATAACCAAAAATCATACATCCCACCAGAACTTAGCATTACTAATACTATCATCGGATACTGGAGAGGGTTGGGAAATAAACTTAATATGGATAACAATAATCAATCACATAATCAATCTTAATCTTTTTATTTATATTGTATTTTCTTACACGTTACACATTTACGATCAATACTGCAATAAAAGATACTCAAAGTGTGTCGATGGATACTCAAATTTAATCAACGCCGTATGGAATGGCCCATCTTCTCAAACATGCAAGCTCTGATTAAAAACTTCATTCTCTTCAAAAAGTTTTTAAATAGGAGATGACAGTCGACATGTTTCAAACGTTCAAGAACATATAATTGGAAAATAGGTGAAAAACTGAATTCATATCAGCATTCATACGAATACTGATTTTCCTTTTAGCGACATTAGTTCCTCACACCTACAAGGGTCGACTTTAAGGTCCCGCAGTGGACTGATCGTTAAGACACGGTTCCCAGCAGATCACCGAAGTCAAGCATCACTGGCTGCGGTCAGTGTGCGGGTGGGTGACCACTTGCGGTATGGTCCTCGGTATGGGTCCTCGTTAAACTGTGCTACCGTAAAGTGCTCGACTTCGCGCGCAGGTCGTCGGGCTACCGAAGCGGGGGTGCCATCCCCTCCGCAGAGGATCAAAATTGTGATGGCATGTCTTCGGATCATCCTCCGGGATGTTTCCCAGACCGTCGCCAATAGCCCATTGTACAGCTCTAGTGCGGCGTAAATTAACAACAACACCAACAACAACAGTTCCTCACCTCCTCTCCATAACACATGCAAATGCATTTTACCCCGATTTTCTCCTATTAGCCACTGTGGTTTTTCTTGCTCTGTTTCTCATATTTTTTCTCTCTCGGCTACTGTGGATTTTCTATTTTTTTTTTCTCACCTCTACTTTTCAATTTTTCGTTTTAAATTTCATATCACTTTTGTTTCTTCGCATTCACGTCTGACAAGTCTTAAAATTGGTCGACTGTTTTTCAACGCTTGAAACATCTCGACCGTTACTTCCTATTTATATATATTTGAAGCGACTTAAGTTTTTAATCGGCTAATTACTTATAGTAACCGCTTATAATGTCCCTTGGCAGATAGAATACGATCCAATGTTCCTATTTTGATGGGTTTCTTTGCTTGTATTTGAACCTTTTTTGTTTCATTTTGGCGACATAATTGTAACGTACCGTGTATGTGATCATCAATATGACTGATAACTCACATGAATAATTGAAAAATATTCATTTCGGCTTTTTCATATACGTATGTCGTGCCGTTTTGGCTCATTTATATAAATGATTTTTAATTATAATAAGTATATTTTTGTATTTTGAATTTTTTATTAGAATTGCCTCATCCCTTTGCCATAACTGTGTTTGAAGATCATTTATTTTGGACTGACTGGCAAACTAAAAGTATTCATCGGGCGAATAAGTTCACGGGGAGAAATGCAACTACGCTTCATACTAAACTGCATTTTCCTATGGACATTATAGTTGTGCATCCGTTAAGACAACCCGCAGGTAATAAAAATGATTGAAATTTTATAAATATATTATGCTGCATATTTTGTTTAGCCCATAATTTGAAAGCCACAATTTAAATTAGTTAGCTGCCTAGAATATTTGCTGAGATTTCAGATGCATTTATTAGTTATATTTAAATAATAGTAAAAAGAAACAATTATAGTCTGGCGGATATGAGTAATGATAAGAGGTTCAGTGAGAATCTATAGATGCAAATACAGGGGTTGGACAAAATAATGGAAACACTTCTATGTTAGCACATTTTTTGAACTTTCTCAAAAAATACTTAGGGAATTATTTTATAAATTTAGAAATGTTTTAGGATGTGCGATTTCTCATTCTTATCAATAAAGTTCAAAGCTTTCGGAGGTTTGAGGATGTGACAATAAATTCAGAGCAAAAAAAAAGGCGTTTTTGAACACCCTTTGCCAAAACATGTAACATTAAATTTGTAACTTGCAGCAATTATTCTGATCATCATACGTAAGAATTGCACAAAATTTTGCAAAACTAGCGTAAATATTAATGGAGATTTGGACATTTTTATAAAAAACTATGTTTTTCGTCTTACCCTTTTTTTGCTATAACTTTAAAGCATTCAATAAAATTGAACAAAATTTTTGGAGAAATTTAAAATTCACAAAATTTTTGCTTCGAAATTTGAGAAAAAATTGCTTACAACTAAGTGATAAGTAACTAGTAGAAAAATAGTTATTTTATACTGCACTAGCGTGTGAAAAATGTAAATTTGTTTTTTCTAATTTTGAAGTAAATTGTGTTTGGCAACTATAAAAAAATCCGATTTGAATATCTTAAAAATTTTAAAAAATTCAAACAATTTTCTAAGTAGCTTTCGTACTTTTCAAAAGAAAGCTCAAAATGATAAGGGGTTTTCTACAAATTTTATTTTGTACTATTAAACAAGATTTATTAAATATGACATCGGTTTCGTTGGGAATCATTCCCAATAAAAGTTTTTTGCATGTCTAAAATAAGTGTAGATTAAGTATAAAATTATTTTCCTTACTTGCCCCCCCCCCTTGTATTTTAAAATTCGTTCCCAAGAATGTCAACAATTTTTAATTAGGAAACACAGCAAATATGGGTACAAAATTAAAAACAAGTTACATTTTGTTGCATATTTTAACACTTTTTTAATGTACTGTACTTAAGTTTTCAAAAAATCCAATTAAATGTCCTTTATTTTTAAATGGTTTTCAATATAGTCATTAATTTTCAGTAGTGAAGTATTTAAATTACTAAAACGATTAAGATTTTAGTCATTAGCTTTTGAAATTTTGGGCAGAACAGTATGCGTTTTTTAATTTTATTTTATTTGCAAAAGCAGTTACGGAATAAGCTCAACGATGTCGAATGTTTTTCTTTATGTATATATATACATAT